GGGAGAGGGAGGGTGGGAAGAGGGGAGACGAAAAAAGAGGGTGGAAGGAAATAACGATTAATTTACGACTCCCGATATTTGATTTCCGTACGGGGAGCATCGACGTTGCTCTTCGCCATCGACAACATCCGCCTGGTATTTTCGCTCCTCGCCATTTTATTTCCGTGTACGTATACACGCTCTCCTTGATCGCGAATCGAATTTCGATGTGGCCGCGTTTCTAAATACAGCTGTTCGCCATGCTAAATGAATTAGGGTTTATTTGGCCCCCGTTTAGCCGCGTGCTTGAAAGGGGGAAGAGGGTGGAAGGTGTGGCGGGTAATTTGACGCGGGACAAGGATATTGGATAGCGAATTCGGAATTAATTCCTTTTCTGGGTCGCGAAGGATGCATTGGTTGGAAAGAGATATTGAATTTAATTGTTTCCATGTGATATTCGTTCGTATATGAGAGATTATCTATTTTCCTCCAACGATGCTCTTATTTATACCGTGATTAAAAAATTATTCTAAACTTAATTATCCGAAATTTTTTCTTTATCTATTTAACGTTAATTTAGTAGTAGTTGTAAGTATTTACTTATTTTTGAAATGATTAAAGTAATGTGGAAATAAATATATGTCAAATATTATTTAACAATAAATTACAATATCAATTTAGTCGAAAACATTTCCACTTGATAATTTCAATAATCGTAGAACGAAAAACACGAGATCCGTCATTTTGATGTCGGATTTGATATTAAATATTTTTATAATTTTATATTTCTAATATTCTACATTCCAATATTATTATTCTATACTCCATATAATAATTCTATTATTATCTCGAATCAATGAATAGATTGTACATTCCACGTTTCACAATTTTATTGCGATCTCTATATGAATAGAATCTCTTGATGAAACGCCATATCATTTCTCAACCCTTTTCACGCCACATTGTTTTCGGTCCATTGCGTCGTACGTTCGGTATTATCACGGTTACACCTATTGAACATTCACAGAGATAGGTAACAGATTGTAACTGCTTACGCCGCATTTCAGTTATGTACGGCGACATCCAAGGATCATTATTGGCTACATGCTCGAGTTTTATCGAGGCGGAAAGTGGCGAGCGACCGCGTGGATCGTTTCTTTTTAATGACGCGGCATAAAGCTCCCCTTTGGCCGTTCGGATTAAAATTGAATCGCTTCCCACGTGAGAATGTGTCGGATTCGCACGCACACGATGACCCATAACTCACCCTTTACCCGAGCACAATGTGCCGTGAAAGACTTTACCGTGTCACCCTTACCCCCATCGGTGTCGCGCGCCTTTTATGGAAAATCATAGAAATTTTATTCATCCCCATAACCGTTTTATTTTAACCATGATTTCGCGATTTTCTTCCCTTCTGTTTTCAATGCTACGGGTGATTACGATTCATCGTTGTAAAAACAAACGATATTAACAACTGCGATGAATGTGATGAAAAAAAGTGTAGAAGTATATGCGATGCATAAAATTACAAAAGTACAAAAAAATGCTTGATCATTCTTTAAGATCTAAGAGTAATTTTTTTTATAATCGAACAATTTTGGTTTTTTCGAAAGGAGAAAGTTAGTTCATTAGACGACTAAGTGTAAAAATGATGTTGGAAGAATTAATCAGAATTTTGAGTGATTGGAGAAATTTTTAAAGTATTTGGAAATATTAAATGTAATAACATTTGAACTTTTTAAAAAAAAATTCTAATCTAAGCAAATTGTTTTAATCAGAATTAAGAAATGTTTAATCGATGGATTAAATTATTTTACTTACAAATTGTCTGCCGATGTTCCCAAAATGAAGAACAAATATAAAAGCCATATAACCATCAATATCAATCCAGCAACGAACAAAGGTTTGTTCTCCGAGGTAAAAGTACAAAACAATATTTCCGTATATTGAATTAAAGAATCTGTCCGGCAATCTCTGGTTTCTCTCACCCAATTACAACGATTTTCAGCAGGTACTTGCCACACGTACGAGCAATCGTCCTACAAATTTACAACGAGAAATTGTAAATAAATTTCAGGATTCTCGATTCGATTTTATCATATATTTCAACAACGAACGATTGGAACGATCGAAAATATTTTGCGACTCGTGAATGAAATTCATCTCGATAAATTATTACGCGTCATTTTTTTTTTTTTTCTTTAATTAAATTCGAGAGAGAAAAAGATAAAAACCTCTCGTATAGGAAGGGCTCCATGTTTCGCATAACGTTCAAACAATTTCGAAACCATGGTGGAAGCTCCACCACTATTTTCTTACCACCAGCATCAATTTTTAACCTAAATATATTTAACCTAAATATAGGTTAAATATATCGTTTCTTTTTTTTCAATCAGTATCGTATTAACAGTGAAATGAGATGCGATTGAATTGTTCGAGAATTTTTGTTGGAGATCATCGATCAGGGGTAGAATATTTATTATATTACTACGAAAAAAGAAAAAAGAAATTCGCTCAGATAAACTCAGAATCATTTTGATCCGGAGAGAAGATTTTTCAGAAATGACAAAGTTCGTCTCCTCGCTGCCCCCTCAACTCGAATTGAAAAAGTTGCCACGATGAAGATGCACGATGCGAAAGTTTTTTTCTTCCCACTCGCGGTATTGTTCGCGAAATGGATGGAACGTTTCTCCCCGATGTTCAAACGGAACTGAACTGAACATAAACGTTTTTTCACAGAGAGGAAGGGGGGAGGAGAGGAGTGCAACGAGGCTCATTAGACGGTAACAGCCTATCCTCTTCCTGTTGTTTCTTGTTGTCGTGAAACAATGAGAAAGAAGAAGGACCATAGAACGAGAGCTAATGAGCGCGGAAACTCGTCTAGTTATCTATCTGTCCGTAAACTGATTAGTTCGACAAAAAGTAACGTCTCTCTTCTTTCTCAATTGAAATCGTATTCGTTGGGATCATCAGGCTTAGGTTAAGATCGAGATTATGAAGATGCGTTACGTGATTGCGTATCAAAGATACAAAGATGAATTTATTCTTTTGCGATATAAATTTATATTATCTGATATTCATTAGTGCGAGTGAATTTAGAATATGAATCGTCGATCCAGTGTGAGCATGAGACATTTTATATTCATTCACACGTAAATGAATTTTCGATTCTTCGCAATTGCTGCACAATTAAAATTTGTTCCATTTTAAAAATTGCTTGGAAAGGATGGAAGAGAATTGTACCGGTCCAAAGAAAAATTATAATGGTTTATAAAACCTTGGCACGAGTCTCTTCTTTCCCTCACTTTTCTTAGTTCCATCTTTCAAAGCGATTCTTCGCTACAATAAATTATTTCAATGCGAACTTCTCCCAGCCTCTTTGATTACCTTTCTATGAGGTTGGCGATAGAAGAATTTTAACATTTTTATAATAGGAGGTCTGTCAAAGCGGAAAGGATCATTCATTTCTCTGGGTATTTTCCTTGCCTCCTTCTTTTATACATTCAATTTAATATTTATTAATTGTTATAGAATCGAGTATATATATATATATATATATATGTACACATGTTTTCCGAAGCGATGCCTGAAACAAACGTTACCTGAAAGTAATTGACGTATAGCAAGAGAAAAACATTGAAAGTTCAAATGTAAAACGTTCCCTTTTTAATGTTTGTTTGACAGGGAAAAAAAGGGATATCAAAAAAGAACCTTTCGCTTTGTGCGAAAATAATATTTAAAAAAAATTTCCATGCTCTTTCTTTTTTAATATAATTCCAATAGAAAGAAGAGCAAGGAATGTATATTTTAACTTAGCGATATAAACTTAATTCGAATCAAGCCTGGAAAGTAAATCAAAAACCATACTCTTCATCCAAATTAATGATGTTTCACAATTTAATTGTGGCGTTAATTGTACTCGATATCAATCCAAATATAAATTGAATTTGTTATAAATTACTTAGAAAACAATTATTATTTTAAAAACTACTTATCACAGTCTTCGTTGAAAGGAAAAGAAAATTTTTTTCGAAAAGAATAATTACATCGAATTACGAAATTAGAAAAAGGAGACGAAAGAATTTGATTGAATTAATTATACACGACATGTTTGTTGCATTTGGACATGTTTTATTCCACAATGGAAAACACTTTATTGGATTGTATTCGGGGTCGACGAAAAAGACATGAACCACCCCCTCCCTCCCTCCCCCCAATTTATAACTTTACGCTTTCGTTCTTTCAGAGGGATACGCGGCTGACTTTTCCGGCTTCCTGTTTCGCCACTCCACGTTCGTGCATTCATAATAAAGCGCGAGTGATATAACGCTGGAATATGCAAAAGCTTCTTTTCGTCGTGTAAGATGCCACTTATAACTGATACGGACGACGTTCTCCTTTCTTTGTTAACGCGTCTGAATTTTTAAAGCCGAGGTTGTATTTGAAAAAGAAAAAAAAAAAAGGAAAACGTCTCTACATGTATAGCCGCAAGATTATTCGTATGCAGTGAATCGAATCTCCATGATAATGATTTTAAATAAATAAAAATTTTTAAATAATTTCTTTCGCGAATATTTGATTTATAATTTTAATTATTTAGCCATATCTATGATCCCTTTGTCATTATTTGAATTCTGACATTAATAATACAGCGTTAAAATTTTACTGTCATCTTGAAAAAAAGTGTCTTTTTTAAAGATACACGCTTCCGTAAGTTGTTGCTTCAATTTCGTATAAAGCGTTTTGTCAAATATTTTATAAGAAAACGAGCGAGTTTCCGAGGCTTTTAAAAGCATTTTCGAAGCATAGCCCCTACGCTATTGGTAATATCTTAGATGAATGAAAAAAAAAAATGTTTCGTGACAAAAAAATGTTTCTAAATATTTTTAAACGACTTATTACATTTATTATACGTATACAAAACACATAAACTACATAAGAAACGTATTATAATAATACGTATTACGTATTAGAAAAATAAGAATAAATATAAAGAAGATAATTTCTACAGGGAATTCTTTTTTTAATTAATCAAAACTTATAACAACTTCTTACAATATTTCGCAGTAGGATCTTTCTTCACGATCGTTTCTTATTAACATCTATCGTCATTCTTTCATTCCAAATTAATAATTTAAATAATTTGTAAACGATGAATACCGTCAACGCGATCGAAATTATTATCGCGAGTATAACGTCCAGCAATAAATATTGGTACCAAGTTAAATTCGTTGCCGTTGTCCTCAATGAATCCGGCCCATGGCGAAGTAAATACTCTATCCAATAAACTCCCTCGTCCAGGGGTGGTATCAGTCGATCCCTGAACTCGAAAGAGGCTTTCCTCGCCATATCCTTGTAACTGTGAATCACGCGAATTAATCAATTAATACAATTATAACATTCAAAACATTCGAAATAATCTTTCCTCCTCCTCCCTTAATTCCAAAAAAAAATTCTTTCCATCGAATCCAATTTTTCCTCAATCGACAACCAATGCTAATGAAAAAGCTCTCGACGAGATCTAACGTAAGGATTCGAAGAATTTCTTCGAAACGACTTCTCCTTCCAAACATTCCAAGCTATACCACGTAATCTAACCACGACAACTCGGATTTAAGGAGCCAACGTTTTCAATCAACTCCCGGATACAAATTTAACTAGGAGTGGGGATTATATATATCGCAGAGGACGGACCGATCAAATTTTCAATCGTCCATTTTCCGTTCGCCGTTTCAATGATTAAGACGCTCCCGGCTCGCGTGACCGCGTTTCTGATCGTTAACAATGATCCATCGCGCGATGGGAACGGTTAATGGACGGGGGGATGGGGATGGGGCGATAATTAACGCGCGATCGATTCGAAAATCGACAATGAAATTGAGCGCTCGTTGGTGGCCCGTTTATCATCGACCGATTGTCATCCGCCAAATGGACTCTGCCGATACGATTGTAACGCAAAAACGTTTATTCCCGAGTGTTACTCGCTGTGTATTAATACGAACGTGTAATTGTAATCTCAAGCTGAATCTCAAGGTAAATAATGGATTATTTTCTTAGAATATTATTTTAGAATAATATTTATAAATTTGGTAAATTGGAAGGTATATACGTATCGAAGGTAGTAATTTTAAAATTATCAGCAGTATAACGCGAGTACTACGAAATACGATGATTGTTTTAAATTGTCACTAAAAATTCATTGTCCGGTTAATTCGGCGGTATTGCTCGGCAAATATAGATGGATAATGAAAGAGAGTTGTGGAAGTTTCTCTCTCTCTCTCTCTCCTTTTCTGTTTCGATGTTCTTTCATCTCTATATCTACGTTATATACGAACCACGCAATTTCCATTTGCACGAAGAACGAAGATTCTAATTACCTCTTGTTCAGGAGCAGTTCGTTCAAAGCGTTTGATATCGTCGGCTCGTATGAAAGTTGATAGTAATCCAGTTTCAGAGCGAACCCCCTTTTCATGAAGTAGGCCAGGTTCAGGTGTTGATCCCCGTACAGGGGTATGCCGAGAATCGGTACCCCGCAATAAACCGCCTCTTGAGAGCTCAGCATTCCACCGTGCGAGATAAATAACCGCACATTCGGGTGACCTGGTCATTTTCAAATCGATAAAGTTAAAAGCCGCATGCGAATCGCGTAAGGTAATTTTATTACTTTAATATTTCTTTATTTTCGCGAATGACGAGAATATTACACTTGTAATTAAATGGACATTTAAATTTTAATATGAATGAATAATATAAAAATAAAGATCCGTTTCACTGATTTTTAAATATTGCTATTATATCAATTCCATGAGTCTAAATAAAACAATAAAATGTTATATAAATATATAGGTTTTATTTAATTAAAAAATTATAAACAAAAATATAAAATTCGAATTATTAAGTAATTTAATGTTAAGTATTATTTAATTATTATTGTTTCCTTCGAATTTTGTATTTTTCTTTCATGAAACGTTTACACGGATTTTATATACTTTGTTTTCGATATTTTACATCATTGTATTCGCATTCTGATAGATTTGCGAACGTTTTCATTTTCCGTAAATGTATAAACATTGTAATTTAAATATTTTTTTTTTTTTTTTTTACATATATAAATCCTCCAGCAAAATCAATTTAACGACGAATTAATAATAATGAACGAATTTGTCAACAATTCATCGAATTTCGTTTGTGAATATAAATCAATTAGTGGAACAACGATTGTTTGCATACAAAGCGATCTGATTGCTAACGGCATACGAAATGGAACGCGTGCAGGTAACGCGTGTACAACGTTTGGATCCATCCCAAGATTTAACCTAGACCTGGCCTAAATTTAATCCTGCCCTAATTCGCACATTATTCATCCACTCCTATATAACTTGCTTCCTATTTACGATGTAGTAAATTCTGAATCGTATATGATCTCTCTCTCTTTATATATATAATGTCTCAAATGTGATGCGTTTGTAGAATGATGCGGCGATATCATCGTCTATTAAACGTTAAATAAATTCACTGGACGAGTCTTGATCGAAACAGATTTTTATTTCGCAAAGAAATGGATAAATAATAATAAAATAATAATCTTTGGCAATAACTTTTCAACATTTTTTGAACATTTAAAATTAAAAAAAAAATTGTAATTATTCCGTCTGTTTAAGGTCTAGTTCCTTCGTACAGGGAAGTAGCTAATTTTCGAGAGAAAATCTCGGAGGGAATAAAGTTTCAAGTTGTTTTTTCAGATTTGTTTCTCGACAACAGTGGTGCACTTAACCTGATTTTTCAAGGTTCAGGGATTAATTCGCTTCCGCATAAAGGATACCTTTTTGTAAAATACGTTTTAAAACTATGTATACACATTTCCATTGTATCGATAATGCAAAAAGGAAAAAGTTTAGAAAGATAAACGAACGAAGAGTTAAATATAACATAATGATTTAAATAATCTTGAATCGATCATTTGAATTCGATCGTATTATTATTATGTAATTTTTTTTAAATGAAATTTTGTACATATTCCATTTTTCCAATATTTCAATATAAAGTTAATCTCCATTTTCTTTCTCTTCCCGTGGCTCGATTTAAATTCCATACGGGATTTTCATAAAATTTAAATCAAATCTGTACTTAATACAATGCATGTATCAAACTTTAGAACTAAAATTAGAGCTAAAATGCACGAATTTCGTGCGTTATTATTACAAAATAAACCGATGGTTATATCTGATTGCGCGGAACAGGATTATTGACAATAAGCGGCGTACAATATGTATAACGAAGGGTAATGATATTCGGGAAAATTGGTCTATAAGTTATTTAACATTAATGCATAATTTAAATATGCAATTTTATGCGATTTCGGGGCTCGATATCTTGAATCATAGATGGGATCATCGATTACACGCGAGAATATAATATTATCCTAACGATACGAGCCTCGTGTATATAATGATACACGACTATGATTGAGGGAAAGATTAAACTATTATACGAATTAAAACATTTACCATCAATCGAATTCTATAAATATCTTTCGTATATCTTTCGTAACGTTGTAACCAATTATCAAACAGCGAATCACATTTACCATTGACTCATTCGACATTGAATTTAATGTTTTCTGAAGTATCTTAATATTCTTGAATGAATACATTTAAAATATATTTAAAGTAAATATTTCTTATCTTCCATAATATTTAACCCAATCTACAAAACAATTTTGTTCACCTATTAAACCGCAATTACATAGATAATTCCCTTCTTTGTTACCAACGCTTGACATTCGAATATCTTTATCGAAAAGAAAACTGTTCATTTAAAAATTTACGAAACAAACATTCGGAAGTATAAAAACGTGTGCAAGTTTTTCACTAATACCTTTTTTTTTTCTGTTTTTCACAGTAACAGAATAATATCCTTTCTAGCGGTTAAACTCGCCGCCACGTGCCACACACACACACACATATACACAGAAAGGTGTTTATACGTACACAATATGGAGAGCTGGGGCGCCCATTCGATGGACTTAACTTTTTTGGGCAGCTTGGGCATATTGCTCTCGGTGCACTTCCACAATATCCGTTGCGGTACCCGCTCGAACGCCTCGTAGAAAGACATTAACATCTCGTTGGGCATGGTGGATATGTTTATTTGCGATCCCAGGCTAAAGTAAATAACCCCGTTCTCGCTCGAGTCGAGAAAATCTTTAAGATCTTTGGGCAACGGGGGCGGGCCCGACGCTGGTATGTGCATACCGCCCAGCTCTTTAAGTCCTGGCGCAAGGGCTCGTGGCGTGTTCACTGCCCTGTGCCCATTCGTCAGTATCAATGATATCCTAGATCGTAACATGTCCAAGTCCGGAAGATCGTCGCCAAAGTGTTTTTTCGCGATTTCGTAACCTGGCCTGTCCGCTAGGTACCTGAGGAGGAAATCGAATCGAAAAATTTATCGATCGAAATTAATCAATCGAGTACAAGTGAATTGGATGACTAGTTGATGTATATATATATATTGAATATTGTGGTATATAAAATCTTTTGGAAGTTTAAATTGCTTGCATAAACTCGACGAATAAGTCTGTTGTAAAATTAAGCAAATGTAATTATCTCACGAACATCTGTATCCAATTTACCTTGTATTATAAATTTGGAAAATTTGAATGGAGATCTAATGGATCTGTTCTATAGCTATAGAGCAACAGAGAATTTAGATAGACCGTCACAGGCAATTAGTCCGCCATTTGCCATCGAACGGTTTATGATGAGAATCGGATCTTAATGAGTTTGGATATTATACCCATGATTGAGGGTAAATAGGCTCATTTGGAAGGAACGGATTGGACGAGCAATCGACGAGCTTGGATCTTTGTGTCGTGAGAATTTTTTCACGAGAGATATTTGAATTAAAATTAAGTAACAATGGCCGACGCTTCGTTGGTAAAATATAAATATTTTCCAAAGGATCTAAGATTTCGCCAAGGAAATTTCGCGTAAGAGGTGAGAGCGATTGATGATTGGACAAGCGATTTAGGATTTAGAAGAAAGGAAGAAAAAAAACTTTCGATTACTTTGACATACCTATAGGCGAGTTTGCTGATGAAAAAGTACATCACATTGGCGGCCCTCTCGAAGAAATTCATCTCGTCCGAAAAATTACTTAATAAGTTAGGAATGTAACTAGGGTTTTCAGGATTCCTAAGAATCCCGTTCGTCCATGGATAAGGCATGGTGCTACTTATTCCAACCACAATTGGTATTTTGAGAGCATGGCCGATACCGATAAAACAGTCGGAAAGGAAGATTTCCATGATGTACACATCGAACTTCTCCTTCGAATGCAGAAATTTCTTCAATTCCGGATGTTCCAATACGGATTGACACGTTGGTAAGCTTATACGGGATATCGATCCCAATTTTTGCAACATGGTTTGCTGAAAGGCAATCTTGATCGACTTTGTACCGACCACGTGTGGCATGCTTGAAGATATATCCACATCCGTGAAATTAGGTAAAACTGTTTTCTGAGGAAAATGGTTGAACGACACTACTTGGTGACCCCTTTCCGCAAGTCTCTTCAGCAACGCCTCATATACTATGTAATGACTTTTCGCTTGATGCGGAGTCATCATCAAAATTCTGGCACCACTGGCATCATCGTACATCGCACAAGCAATCGTTATAATCGCAAATAGGAATTTCATTTCGACGAAGATTAAATAAATAGAGAGATAGATCTTCGATTTATATTCGAGATATATATATATATATCGACTTAAGATCGAACTTGTTTAAAAGTAAAATAAAATATAACTGAATAATAATATTTTAAACGTTAATATATTGCACGATAAAATATTCAGTGAATCGTAATACAACGATAAATCGTAATTATATTATCGTTGTATCGTTATTTTTTTCTGTCGCTAATCGTTCCATTATCTATATTCTTATATACACTTTCTCAATACTTGAGATAAAACAACGTATACACAATTAAATCTATTAATTATCAAATTATAAGATTCTTATATGAAATTTGTACATAAAAAGTGTATTAAATTTTTACATAAATTTACAATTATTCAAGCAAACAAATGTTATGTAATTCGTAATGAACGAACACACACTTGCACGAATAACTTTTAATTTATTCACCAATGCAATGGTTTCAAAACGTTTCCAAACGTTTCTCTCTAATGATGACCGATGACTGCCAAATTATTTTCCCTTTCCAACACGTCCACAACATCAGTTAAGCGGCCCGCACAATGGAACAGATGATGCCAACGATATCGATATCTGGTTTCGCGATGCAGATAACAACATCAGAGTGATTTTCAATGGATGCTAAAATCGATATATATCATTTGCACATCACGAGGATCGTGATGCAAGTTTCTAGATCGTTCGCGCGTTTCTAGATTGTGTAGACCGCTTTATGGAGTTCGCACGCACAACACAACGCGTCTATGTCACATGACGTCAAACAACCTTTCCACTCGTATTTTTGGAACTGACTTCTCGTTCGTCTCTCCTCTAATAGTCCAGCGTGAATTTTCTGTCTCTCGTCGCGCCTGCAAGATGCGTGAACGTCTTCAAAATTTCAACGTCGCGTTATCCTTGTTGTCATAAGAGTAATTACCAATAATTTTGAATGATTGAAGATCGAAATTATCAGGAACGAAATATCGATCAACCGATTAAAATGATAAAAATTTGATAAAAATCTTAATGTGCATTAGCGATGTTGCTGGCTAAATAAGTTGCCAATAAACTTCTATATTTATGATGAGAAAACAATATTTTTGAATAACTTGTTTAATAACTTCTTTGGATTTATGTTTGTTACAGATATGAGGGAAATTTATTTCGTAATAATACTCGTGATAGTATTATCTAAGAAGAAAAAGGGGATTTATTTTTAAATTATTAGAAATCAGTGTTATAAATTGATAGAACACTGAAAGTATTGATATGAAAGATTATCGAATTATATCGATATTAATTATCTCTAATAATTGATTAATCATCTCGTTTCGTCAACACACTTACGAGATTTAGAGATACAAGAGGTTGGTATTTTCTGGTGCGCTGGATTAAAGTGGTTCATTATTAAGAAATGCGCCAGAGAGAGACAAGAATGGCTGGTTGAAAAGGAAGGAATTGAATGGAGAAATGGAAAAGAATCCACCGTTGGCGCTCACATTCCCACGCTGAGTTCAATTGAAAAATATACCGATTTCCAAATTGTCGATGCAATATTGTTTGTAAAATTACTCAGATAGTGTATGAGAGTGATGAAAAATAATTCTCTTTTCTCTCTCGAGGATATCAAATGTTACAATTTGTTTCATCATAATTTTCAGACGTTTGAAATTAATTGAAATATCGTTTCCAAGGATCTAATTCAATATAATTTAGTATAATATAATGTTTTTGAATTATTGCCTAAAGTTTCAAGATCCAGTTAAATTATACGATTTATCTTTAATCTTTAATTTTTATACTTAATAGTAAATTTGTCTCTAATTCAATTTATCTAATTCGATGAAATTATGTGTTCGTGTTACGTGAAACATATTGTTATAAATATAATATTTAATTTATCGATAAAGTTTTTCGCGTATGTATATCACGTATTTTTATACTATTTTTATAGTTTAAGATATCTTTCTCACATAAAATTTATATCACAATGTATCACAAAATATATCTACTTTTTAATTTTTTTTTTTTAACTTAAATTTAAAATAAATATTAAATTGTTTCTCGATTATACGATTAAGATTAATTATAAATATTTAGGTTAGAAATAAAAATAAAAATTTTGAATGATAATTATCGCTATTTAACTAGATGACAAACATGTTTTCAAGGAACAAGAATGTGGCTGAAGGAAAGGCACATTATATTTCTAATTACACAAAATAACTTCAAATGACGTCAGTGTTGAACGAACCATAATATTCATTATCTCTGTCTTTATTCAAGTTTCAAGAAATCACTTTAAAACTTCGTCGTTTGAAAATTTGGGTGAATTATTTGGTAAATTTTATTCAATCTCAAAATATAAATCTTAATATTCATGCAATGATATAATAAATTTACACACAGTTTACGAAATAAGTAAAATTTAAACTTGTTTGTCTTTACGATTTAAATACACGATAATATAGAATTTCGAGATCCTATTTTAAAATAAAAGATTCCATTACTTTTAAATGATAAAATTATCTCTGTACTTTAAAGAAAGAAAAATATCAGTGTCAGTTTAGTAACTGTATCTATAACCTAGAATACAATTCTTCCTGGAAACGTGTCTTAGTTCGCACAAAGTT